GAGAGAGAGAGAGAGAGAGAGAGAGAGAGAGAGAGAGAGAGAGAGACACCCTAGCATAGCCAGGATGCCTTCCAGAGGGAAGGAGCCAGCAGCTATGGGAAGGTGGCCAGCCTCAGGCCCAGCTGCTTTGATAGCTCATTGTTCTCTTCTTGGAAGCCTCTATGCCTCCAGCTCCAGCCCTGATGAAATCAAGTGCCCCATCTTGATTTTGCAAATACCCAGTCTTTCTTTTGCTCCATGTTGCTTGGGCAGCCTCAGTTTATTCTGTTCCAGATTTCTTATCTGGAAAATGGAAAGTTTCTCACCTGATTCCCATTTTTTTAAAAAAAGAAAAAAAACTAGGGCTGGGGATGTGGATCAGTGGTAGAGCACTTGCCTAGCATGAACAAGACCCTGGATTCAGCCCCTGGTACCAAAAAGTCTCCAACCATTCAGGACCTACCTGATACTGTGTTTTTCCTTTAAGCATGTAGCTATGATGGGCCATCTGAGAAATGTGGCCTCCTACTTTTCTGAATGCCTCTGTCTGTCCCCCTACCTTACTTCAACCAGTCACAGACCAATGAAAACAGCAAGGACACACTGGCTCTGTGAGGAATGGCCTGTGTTCACAACTTTAACCTCTGGTCCTCAGTGACAGACACTGTCACAGAGTTGGAGTGATCCTCCCTTCTAAATCTGCAGGCACCTTTCTCCACCCTTTCAGCTGCTGCCACAGTTCAGTCTGTCTGCATTTCTTATAGTTGGTGCATCAGCTGCCTGCTGTGTCCCTGCCTTCTGTCTCCTCCAGCCACTACCTACAGAGTGCAAACCTGTCACTTTCTTGCTTAGAGCCCTTGGGATGGAATGCAGACTGCAGCCAGCTTATGGGGCCCTTTTGGAGTCTGGGGCCTTTCTGACTTGGGTTTCATGGCTCACTCACCCTCCCACACACACAGCAGTGGCCAGATGACCTGAGCTTCACCCCTGCAGCACACCTGTGATCCTCACCCAAGGGCCTTGTGCCCCTCCAGATCTCCCATAGGCAACTCTTCCTTCTGGATGCTTCCCTGCCAGCCTCCAGGTGAGAGCCCATCTCTGTGCTCTCTCCGGTGCCCGTGGCACCTGTCCCCATGACTGCTGATAGCCTAGCAGGAGTCAGTGTTGTGGTTCTGCATTCCTATACCTGAGAAGTTCATTCTGAGAATGCCCACAGCACTGGCCTGGTAGTAGTAGACAAGCTGGGGTCTCATTCCCAGACTGTGTGGCTCCAAAGCCTCTGCCCATGACCCTTATGCTCTGCAGGTGGAGCTCAGTTGGGTTTGTTAAATAATGGTGAATGTGGCTCTCCAGACCAGAAACTTAGGGCGCCCTAGAGATGGCAGTGCATGTTCACGGCCACCCCTGCACCCTGAGCTTCCCTGACCCGATCCCTGAGCCAGGGATCAGGGAATTGAAAAGCTTCTTGCCTTTTCCCTCAGGGAATTGTGGTGGATGTGCCCTTCGCCTCCTTCTTCCTGAGCCAGCTGCTTGGGCACCACCACAGCATCTTCTATAGCTCCGTGGATGAGCTTCCTTCTCTGGACTCAGAGTTCTATAAAAACCTTACATCCATCAAGGTTAGTGTGGAACGGTCAGTGACTAAGCCAGGTACTAGTGGGAACTCCCAGCTAAGCCAGGGCTTAGCTGGGCTCAGCTTTACCCTGTCTTCATGTCCTAGAACAAGTTCTGCTGTAATTGATGCAATCCCCGTGTCCCTTCCGAACCCTCCCTCCCAGGGTGGAGACCCACAGCCTCCTCCCTCAGGGTGATGAGCAGCCTTCTCTGCTTCAAGCTATGGGAGGCATGATTGTGAACACCGCCACAACAGCACCTCAAGGAAGGAAGAGTTAGCTCTTCAAGGATGTAGCACTTCGTGGCCCCAACATTGCCCCCTCTCTGTTGCCTTAGCGCTATGACGGGGACATTGCTGACCTGGGCCTGACACTGTCTTACGATGAGGACGTCATGGGTCAGGTAGGTTGGCCTTCCTGGCTGAGCTCCTTCCTGGGTTTCCAAGACCTGCCCAAATTAGGTTTCCCTCCAGAGAGATCCACCCCCCTGTCTTCCCTGTCAACCTGGCCTTTGTGTGCTTGCACCTCAGAGAGGCCCCCCTTGAGACCCTGCTTTGTTCATACTGCATCTTTGGATCTTCTGAAGGAAGCCGATCCCCAACTTATGATGGTGTTTTCATTTCCACGGCAAGAATTAGCCATTACAAATAGGATCATGACTGAGTGGGAATAGCCTACCCAGAAAGAATGTCTCAGACAGAGGCCAGATATGAGTCTTTGATGAGACAGACCAGTGTCTGTAGGCACCGATGGGAACCCTGTGTGTCCTGCCCTCCTGAACGTCACCCAGCCCTGAGCACTTGAGGGCCCTGAGAAGCCTGTGAGAGGAACCATAGTGCAGGTGTGGTAGCTTCAAGCTTCCCCTGACCACAGACTCTTTCAAAGAAAGAGAGAATGCTATTTCTCCAGTCAGCAGAGTTCTGGGTATTCTCTGGAAGCATCTGTGGGAAATACCAGGCTGGATGAAATATTTGACAGAACAGTCAACCATAATATGAACATAAAGATGAAAATGAAAAACCCCCAAAATGCCAGTGCCAAGTGGGGATCCTATAGTCTGTTGTCTCTGTCCTTCAGGCTCTTTCCCAGAAGCATGTATATAGTTTTGTTTACTTTGCAGAAATGATACCAGTCCATGCATGCTGTTATGTAGTTTCTTTTTTGCACCTGTTCATTATGGGTACACTTTCATATTTTTTACTAGCTACACTGTATTCTCATGTATGGTTGTAGCAACATTTATTTGGCCTCCTGCTACTGTCCTAAATGCCAGCACAGCTCCTTCTGTGACATTCTGGAACCTTGGCACAAATGTTTGAACAAGGATCACATAAGAAGAAACCTTTCATATCGATCACACAGGATCTGCTTACTAAAACCCTGAGGTTTTATGATAAATGATCATTCCCAAAAACATACCAGTTTAATTCTGTCATTATCGAGGATGTTTGCATCGGACCCTGTCCTTCAGGAAGCTTTGTTTCCCCATTAGAATTCTCTCTAGTAATTACTCCTCTTCTTCTCCCCCAGCTTGTTTGCCATGAGCTGATTCCTGGAGGAAAGACCATTCCTGTTACAAATGAAAATAAGTGAGTACAGCAATTAGATGTTTAAGGTCACCACTTGAAAAGACTTCATTCTGGCTCTCCAGGCTTACGTTGAGAATTTATTAAGATAGATTGAAGTAGAAAGAGGCCATAAATATCATAATGGAATTTACTGGTTACAGTTCATAAGGCCAGAATTGTATTAAATTCGATTTGCAAAATAAGAATTGATGATTTATTTTTTTGCAGTAGCACTTGTAAGGTCAGAGGCACGCAGGCCACAGTGTTCTTAGGAATGAAATGACGGCTCTGTATGCAGACAGATGGGTTCTGAGCTGATCAGGCTCTGTCCTGAACCCAGAGGGCCTCAAGGCAGAGACACCTTAAAGGAGCAGCTCACTTTAAAATGATGGCATGTGGCAACTGTAGAAAACACTGCTCTCAAGAGACTCAGTGATGAATTCAGTCCAGCCGACTGACTTAGACATAGGAAATCAGAGGAGATTGTCACTGATAGCGTGCTTTTAGGAATCTGTCATAAATGTCAACCCTTTTTGTCTGAAGAAGCAAAGGCCCTCAATCTCCAGCTCTGTCTCCAGCCAGCCCTGCTCTTGCCTGTTTAAAACAGTAGAACCTGGAACAAGGAGTAGAGCTTGGCCCCCTTGTCAGTCTGTCAGTATGCTGTCACCAGGTGCAGCTGGGCTTTTGAACTGGTAATCTGAGCGTCAGTCTCCTCAGTGATGGGTGAGCGCTCAGTCTCACCTGGTGAGTCATCTGCATCAGATGCGTGTTACTGTCCAGTGGAACATCCTGTTCCTCTCAGATTGGGTGGTATGGTCACTGCATGCTTGGGAGTTTTCTATTTCGACTGTCAGAACATTCAGAAGAATAGACTCTGTTTACATCATGATTGAAATACCCCAGCTTTGCCCTTTGGCCATAGGGCATTAGGTTGAACCCTAGAACAAAGAGGAAAGGTTAAAGAGGCTGCTAAGGGAGGGAAAAGGACCCAAACTTGAGCATGGAGAGAGTGGGCTAAATTCTGGCCCTGCCCACCTGCAACCCATAGCTGTTCCTTCATGGGTCTGTGCGCAAGAGAAGCTGTAGAACAACTTCCAGGATGTCTGGCTGAAAAGAGGGACTTAGAAATGAGAGCCATGGTCACATCATCAGATATGTGACATATCCCATAGATCCTGCCACCCCCAAGGAAGCTGCCTTTGCCTACAGGTACAGCATAGGGGTTACAGTAAGAACTGTATGCTTGTAAGGTGTGTAAATAACTGCTGGGGGAGCTGGGTTGATGCTGTGTGGGAGTGAGATCCCTATCCTGCCTTGAAACCAGACCTGAAAACTCATTTTACAAACTCCTGTGTTCTAAGCATAGAGCCTCAGTGTAAGGGCGAGGGTAGTCTGTACTGCATACTGACTGAAGAGGCTTGCCAGTGCCTGTTCCTCCTCCTCAGGGGGTGATACTGGATCTCACACTGCTAGGGTGTTGACACTTCCCACTCTCACTCCTTCTGTCTCTTTGGGTAAAATGAAGCAGTGCACTAACCTGCTTCAGAGAGGACCAGCAATAATAGAAAAACTCATATTGAAGTGTTTGAAGGTCAGGATTGCTGCTGGAATATTTTCTAAGATAGGAATATTTTCAGGGCTGGGGATTTAGCTCAGTAGGTGCCACACCTGCCTCACAAGCACAAGGTCCTTAATTCAATCCCTGGTACCAGAAAAAACAAAACAAAAAGAGTATTTTCAAGTTACGTTAGACCTGAGCATTATGGAGAAAATTCCACTTGAACTATACTTATTTGGCGTTATAAGAGTTATACCTGGGCTGAGCTCAAGTTCTTTAATCCCTGAGCAAATGGCTTGCTAAGAAATCAGCAATGTGGCAAGCTTGTTAGAGTGTGTAACCTGTTTAGAGGGATTGCATCATATCCTACAGTTGTAGATGAGATCAGTGTGTTCACACAGACAGACCCAGAGCCCCCTCTGCTTGGAAGCAGGGTCAGTTCCCCGGACTTCCTCAGTGGACCCTGGACATAAGCCAGCTGCACTTGTGGAAAGCATCCTGCAGGTCTGCCCCTTCATGGCTCTAGACTTTTAGTCTACTTTAGCAAGATTCGGACTAAAGTTTCAATATGAAACAATTTTCCTCTACTTTAAAGCTTATTGGAGTACTAAATGATATCATACTCAGTTGTGTCCAGAACGTCAAGATTGAAAAGAAGTTTGAAAACAACCCTTGTACTAAGGACCTCTTCATACCTCTGAGAATGACTTACTTCCCAACATAATGGGGATCATTCTCAGATTTAATGTGGATTTTGAAGACAAGTGAACAAGACAATGCCCTTGAATACCTGAGTCCTTCCTAGTGTCAAGCAGTGATGAGAGCACTGTCATCATGGCCATCCTTGTCATTGTTCTGGTGACATGCAGTGACATACAGTGTGTTTTATAAAATGGTTCAAAAATGACCAGACTCATCTTTCAGCCCATTCATTGGTAACAGCCGGGCTCATCCTCTTAATTTCCGTTATTTTCTCTTCCTTGTTAACAGAATTAGCTACATCCACCTGATGGCGCATTTTCGAATGCATACGCAAATAAAAAACCAGACAGCTGCCCTCATTAGTGGATTCCGTTCCATCATCAAACCCGAGTGGATCCGAATGTTCTCAACTCCTGAGCTGCAGCGTCTCATCTCTGGTGACAACGCTGAGATTGATCTGGACGATTTAAAGTAAGGGGCAGTGAGGAGGGAAGGGTGAAATTCTTAGGCCTCCCAGAAAGCGAGCTGCTCCTTTGCTGGGTTCCTTTTGCAGAGTTACTCCAGGAGCCCCTCACCAAATCTCCTCCTCCACCATGATCTGGCTGGGGTGCTGTGGGGTAAAAACTCAGCCCTTGTCTGCCTGGCAGCTGACTAGTGGAAGCCGGCTTTGAGGCCTGGGGTCTCACTAAAGCTCCAGCAAATGGTGGCATGGTGTTTCAGGTTGGCATCTGCTTCAGAACAGCAGGGGTAGCTTTCAAACTCTCTGTCCATTTACCTTCCAGGAGGATGAGGTCATTTAGGCATGAACTTGTGCCACTGAGAGAAGTTAGTAGTGTTATCCAGGATTGTCCAAGTTGTCTGTGCTACTTGTCTAAGTTACCCTGCCTGCCTGTGTTCACAAGTGCCCATCAGTATGCTGCTGAGCACTTTTCTGGGTCGTTTTCAGGAAGCACACGGTGTACTATGGTGGCTTTCATGGGAGTCACAGAGTCATCATCTGGCTCTGGGATATTCTGGCCTCTGACTTCACACCTGAAGAGCGAGCCATGTTTCTGAAGGTATTTTATGATCTCTGTGTGTGTTCTTGGGTGCATGGTAGTCTCATACATCTAGGAGGCATGTTGATATAATCATTTACACTGGAAAGAGCAGGATTATCAAGAAAGCCTCATCATCAGTATGTCCTCTCCTGCTGACCAGGTAAGCAGGGAGGGCTCAAGGGGTGAGACTGTGCCTGCTGCCTACCCTGTGCTGTGAGACAGGCCCCTGCCTAGCTGGGCATGTGTCCCTGCTGGGCTTGGTACTCCATCCTCTCCTGGCCTATACTGGCCTTGCTAATATTTTTTTTCTTTCTTTCATTATAGAAATAAACCATATTCATTGCCTTAAGAAAGTATAGCTGGGCATAGTGGCACATACCTGGGCTACATGGTGAGTTTGAGGCCAGCCTGCAACATAACGAGACACTGTCTCAAAAAAAAAAAAAAAAAAGGGCTACAAACAAAACTTCAAACAATCCTGTAAACCTAAATATTTCTATAATGTAGAATTTTAGACTACCTATACTGCTACCTACCAGGGACTATCCCTCTACCCTCTTTTCTAATTAGTGCAAAACATGTGTAACACACACACACACATGGTGTCCCAGTAAAGTGTGCACAATTGCTTAGCCGGATGTCATTGTATATTTTTGCAAATGGTTGCTGACATGAACCAGTTCCCTGTTCTGGTGTCCATAAATTTCTGAATATTCCAGATATTCCTCCCAGTGCCACTGCACTGCCTCTTAACAGCTGACCTCAACAAAATGTTAGTATTGTGTAGGACACTGGATAACACACCTACACATCTGTGTGTGTTATGGATGTGTATATTTTTGTAACAATGAAATCATCATTTCACCACCTGCTTTTCTGTTTGACAGTAGATTATGAACACTTTGCCTTGTTCTGGGAATAAATTTAGTGCCTTGAACTATTTTCTGTTAGGCATGTGGGTTTCTTAAACAGAACTGTGTGACCTCTGGTGTCAATGCAGTGTGGCAGTCCACCAGTTGAAGTAGCAGCTGGTCTTTTCCGTGATTGGTCCTTGTGAGGGAGTGCATTCACTTGTGAGGGAAGAGGCCTTCAGCAGTACACCAGACATGAGCTCCAGTCATCCGAGGTCCCCAGGGCCTCGAGGTGGGAGGCAGCTATAATCCTAGAAATTGGTTCTGGGGGAAGCACTCAGGCTTCCCACCAGTGTATTGTCTGCAGCATGGTCTCTGCTGACCTGGAAACCTCACTCTGCTTGTCCTGGGAAGAGGACAGACAGCAGTTCAGTAGTACAATCACCGCCCACAGTTGGCTGTGTCTGTGCCTTCGGATGGCCTGTCACCAAACCCGAACTGCCTCATGTGCTACAGACAGGCCCCAGAGCCAGAGGGATTAAAGCATAGCGCTTGCCTAGGAGTGGAAACGAGCCTGTGGTGCTGTGCAGTGTAGTGATAACAAAGGTCTGGAGGCTTCCCTGCCTGCATCCCTCCTCCTGTCCTGGGAGGTGGGAATGCCTCCCTCCTGAGGCAGCCCCAGGCCACAGCAGGCAGCAGCTAGTTGTGAGCCACCCTGAGCTGGAGGTGCAGATGCTTTGTGTCTGTTTCCTCCTTAGAAGAGGACTAACCCCCAGCCTGGAAGCACAGCATCTGTGTGGTGATTGGAAGAGTCTGTTCACAGAAGCCGCTGCTGCTGCTGCTGCTGTTTTTATAAATAAAACATTTTAGAAGAGGAATATATTTAGTACTCTTTTTTTGTTTTGTTTTGTTTAAATGGCACAGGGGATTGAACCCAGGGCTTGTACACTGAGCTACATCCCCAGCTTTTCTTTTCTCTCCCTCTCTTTTTTTTTTTTATTAAAGACAGAGTCTCACTATGTAGTTCAGACTGGCCTTGAACTCACTGTGTAGCCCAGGCTGGCCTCACACTTGCAGTGCTTCTCTTGCCTGAGCCTCCCAAGCACTGGGATTACAGTGTGCATGACCATGCCCAGCCCTTTTATTTTTCTGCATTTAGATAGGATCTCCCTAAGTTGCCCAGGAGGATTGAACTTGCAGTCCTCCTGCCTCAGCCTCCCAGAGTGCTGGAATTACAGATGTGGGCCACCACATGCAGCTATTTAGTACATTTTTTAAAAAACTTTTTTGAAGCATGACACACAAAACTGTCTTTGCAAGACCTCGGGTATCTCACAACCATTTATAATATTATTTAAATGGTAATATTCTAAAACACAAACTAAATTGGCCACTGAATTTTAGAGCCAGGCTTGGTGTCATAAGTAGCAAGACCCTGGGTCCCCTAGAGAAAAGAGCATTTGGGTTTACTATGGAATTATAGAAAGGGAAGGTTTCTTAGGACATCCCTATGCAAGTTGACCTCTTGAATTTCTAGGTTGGTCCCTGCCTGTGTCCAGACATGAGCTAGCACATTTGAGGAACTTACACAGGTGCCGTCATTTAGAGAGCGCAGTGGTTCCGGGCTGTAGCCAGAAACGTGGCTGGCCCCCCTCAAGACCCACATCTGGTGCCCAGTTTCTCGGTCCAGTCCTCAGCCTCTCTGGCTGCAGAGACCTGGTTCTTCTCCGCATGCTGAGAGCAGAGCCCCTCTTGAAAAGGGGTCTCCAGGACCCCTGTTCACAGAGACAGCTCTTCCAGGAAGCAGGCTGGGGTATTACGGTGAGCATGCCCACCAGCTCCCCTGCATGGCTGGGTATGCTTCGGGCAGGTGAGGTTGCTGGTACAACCCACACCGGGGCTCCCTGCACCAGGCTGTAGCGCCTCGCCTCATAGGCACAGCCTCTCCACCACAGCTTACCTAGTGGGCACTCCCAGTACCTGCCTCCCCTTTGCCAGTGCTGCTGCTGTGTAGTAGCTCCAAGGAAGGCTGTCTGTCACCATCCCACCCTGCAGCTGAACGTGGCACTGCCTCTGGAGACCGCCTCCTGGGAAAGGCACTCTGGTGCCTGGATGAGATCTGCCTTTCCCTAGACGCCACAGTCACATGGTCTCCCATGGCCACCAGTCATCTCTGATGGGCGAGGATTCTGTGTGCATCAGTACAGAGCTGCACCCACAAGGACATGTGCCATGTGTTGTCCACACATCGTGAGCCAGCTGCACCACTCTGTCACCCCTCACTGCGGTGGCTAAGGAAAGGAGAGCACCCATTATAACTGTAGGAGCCCCTCCTGTCCCCTCTGACTCTGCATTGTGTTGCAGTTTGTGACCAGCTGCTCCAGGCCTCCACTCCTGGGATTCGCCTACCTCAAGCCCCCATTCTCCATTCGCTGTGTGGAGGTGTCAGATGATCAGGTAGGTATGCAGTAGGGCCACAGGCAGCTGGCTGGTGTTCCATGCTCCTGCTTGGTTGTCTTCTGCTGTGCTTACCGTGTGGGGCCCTCAGCAAGACTGGCAGCTGGGCCCTTTGGAGCCACAGTTCTCACAGCATGAGAGCAGCTGGCCCTGCCCTGGCTGCTCTTCCTTTCTCTGTCCTTCCTTGGGAAAGGGGACACTGGTAGGAGTGGTGCCCACTATTTCAGTAGCAGCTGGCCCAGCCAGGTTCCAAGTCTGAGAGGTAGCATGGGAGAAGGTGAGGCTCAGGGTGGACAAATGTAAGCCTGCACCACAGCTGCTCCCCCTGCTACCCGTGCCATCCAGGCACACTGCTTGTCCTAGTCTGTTAAAGGGCAGCATCTTAGGGTGCCCCATGCACTGTGCCCCATGCACCGTGAGCCTGGCCATACCACATGCTCAGATGTGCCCCACCCATGAAGGCCCAGTGCCTTTTGGGTGCACCTCCTTCATTAGGACACTGGATGATCCTCAGCCTCTGTACTTAAGAGAAAGTCAACCATGGACCACAGTACTGGCAAGGCCAGGAGCAAATGTTGGGTTGCATTTAGAAAATTTTTGACACCTAAAGTAGTTTGCTACTGTTCTGTTCTCAACCAGTTGGGTAAGCACTCTGGCTGTGAACCAGAAGGCTGTTTCTGCATTCTGATCTAGCACAAGAGTCCCCATGTGGCCTCACGGAGCAGGGACTGCTCCTCTGTACTCAGGCACTGCATGTACCCAGAGGGCAGCACCCACATTCTGCCTGGTGCCCAGGGGCTGCCCAGCTCCTCTCTCTGCTTTGGCACCTACCCAGCCTCCATACCTGGCACGTCCTGATGCAAGGCTGTGGTGTTGCTTGCAGGACACTGGGGACACCCTGGGCAGCGTCCTCCGGGGCTTCTTCACCATTCGAAAGCGGGAACCAGGTGGCCGTCTGCCCACCTCCTCCACCTGCTTTAATCTGCTCAAGCTGCCCAACTACAGCAAGAAAAGCGTCCTCCGGGAGAAGCTGCGCTATGCCATCAGCATGAACACAGGCTTCGAGCTGTCCTAGCTGCGCTCTGCCCCATCCACGTGCCCTCCAGGGCTCCTTGTGACAGCTTGCCTTGGAGCATGGCCAACATGCCAGGAGACATTGGTGCCCAGACCCTCTCTATAGCCATGAGACCCCCCTGTGGCCTCAAGGACCCTAGATGCACATGGCGGCACTACACAGCCTCCTCCGAGTGATGCTGGTTGGGAGTGTTGATAATAAACTTCCAGGTTCCACCCACACTGGTCCTTTTCTCCCACTTTCCAGTGGCCTAGAGCCCAGGCCTGGCAAATGTAAGAGGCCATTCTTGGATAGTTGGGGCTTTGTGAGCTGTGTGTGAACAACTCCCTGGAACCAAGGGAGCCTAGAGTCATTCCATGGCATGGGTCTGAGTGCAAGAAGCCTGCTACACATGGATCCTCTCCTTCCATTCTGAAAACTCTTCACTCAGGTAAGGCCTCGCCAAGCCTCTATGCACCCAACAAAGTTTCTGCCTCTGTCCCATCCACAGAAGCCTCTTCCCAGGAAGCCAGGCCCATCTGCTGCCCAGAGAGGCCGTGGAGCACCAGAAGTTCAGGGTGCTGCTCCCACTGAGAAGCTGCACGTTCCGTGCTGCAGCCTCCCTTCTGAGCCCTCACTGGCTGATCCTGTCCTATGCATCCACATTGGTGCCCTGGTTCGGGAGAAGAGCTCACTGATTCCAAGGAGCAGCTCCAGTTCTAGCTGCACTGACTGCTACCCAGAGCAGTGACTGCCTTTTTCTCGGCTCATTGCCCTGCTCATCTATTGAGGAAACAAACACTAACTTGAGGTACCTACCCATCTGGACTTCGTGAATCTTGGGGCTTGCTGACTGGCCCTCAGCGCAGAACACCTGGGAGCCCTTTACACTGAGCAGCTCAGGAGGCCGAGGAGACCCACATGTACCCCTCCCTGCCTCTGCATTGGCTTGTGTTTGTTTCCTTTTACTCCTTTTCCCCTTCCAGCCTATTGTGCTTCTCTGTCATCTGTTTTCCCCTTTCATGAAAGCTTTGTCCAGATCCAGGGAATTGAGGCAGGGGCCTTGTTAGTAGTCCTTGGTGACAGCCACCCTCCCCACTTCGTGCACCTCATGTACCCCCACCCAGATTGAAGCCAGAGAACCCGGGAGTGCCTGCTCCCTCCTCCACTCTGTGCCACAGACTTAGGGCTTACAGCCCTCTTCGAAGCCACACCTTCCAACAAGAGCCTTCCTGTTGGCACCAAAGCAATCAAGAGCAGTCTACCACCCCCATCAGAGGGCTTCAGCTGGATCCAAGCGTGGGCCGGGCCAGAGCCCTTGGGCTTCTGAAAAAGAGTGTGTGATTTACTGTGCTGGAAAGAAGACAAATTTAAAGACAGGAAGTTAATGTTAAGGTGTTTTAGTAACTCCTGCATCTGTGGACTTGCCACATTCTTTAAGCACTTGACTCCTTTAAACGTGTACAACCATGGTGTACACAGACTGTACATAGATCCTGAGCCCTGGTAGCTCATGGCCTGCACGAAGACTGATCCCATCTTGATTTTTCTTTCCTGAGGGGGAGCCAGTTGGGGCCTTGTGGTGGGGGGGGGGGGGGGGTATAAGCACCAATATCAACTTTACCTGTTTCTTTCCTTGACCAGGAGGGGTAGTTTGTAATCACAGCAGCTGTGATATTGCACTATCTAAAACACTGAGTCTGTGCTTTTATAGCTGGTGTTCACTGACACCATAATGGCTTTTGATGGCTCTAAAAAGTTGTGAGTTTTTTGTTTTTGTAGATAACTTATGAATTGAGACATGTCAGAGGCTTTATTAAATTTGTACTGAAGCACATGCTGGCTGTGTTCTGCTCTTTGTGTAGCCATGTGCCTGGACAGCTCAGAGTCAGGCGTCCCACAGTGAGGAGAAGACTGTGGCCCACACCTCAGCCTTCCAGCCAGTGAGCAGGGTTGTTACTTGTCACACTTGCTCCCGATTGTGTTGTCAGAGGTAACACATTTCAGAAACATACCCCCACACACAGCCCATCCACTGCCCTCTTCCCAGAGGCCACCGTGACCATAGGTTGGATGTGTATCTTTGCAGTTCCTGTCTTACACAGTAACTTACCAAAGTGTAAATGTTTGGTGGGAAAAAATTCAGATGATTCACACACATACGAAGTAAAATTCTGCAGCTACCCCAGGTGTGCTCAGCTGTTCTGCCAGCCAAAGGTCAAGGGTCGCGCCTTGCCCTCTCCCTGGGACGCTCTTCCTCCTCTGTAGAGCCAGCCCTCTCAGTCTCACAGGGAGCCTGTTTTCCCAACTCCGCCTTGGGTGGCTTTTCCCTCACCAAAGCAGCTCCAACAACCCAGTGGGCTCTCACCACCTCACCTGGCCTGGCACACCTGAGGACTAGAACACGACCCAGGCTGTGAGAGTCAGGAGGCCTCTCCCAGCAGTCCCAGCACTGGTGCCCTGGGGCTTTCTCACTCAGCATTCCTGCTGCTAGTGGACAAATCCTGCAAAGCCCCAAAATGCTCGGGAGCCTCCAGACTAGTGCACACCTGCCTAAAACTAGGGCCTTACTCTGTGACACTTTGGCTTTTCCTTACAAATCATCACTACAAAGAGAAAGTTTATAACAGAAAAACGGTTTTGTTTTGGATCTGCTGATAGGACTTGGGAATGCCTGAGGAGTGTTGTTTTTCAACACGGTTTGAGAAGTACTGGTCTCCAGTGTTGGGAAGCCATGGTCTGTATTTCCTTGGCAAGTAACAGCTGTTGGATAAAAGTGGGTGATCAGGCATTGGCAGGTGGGTTATCTCTAAATTTGGTTAACGTGTAAGTGCAGGGCTATCTTAGGCCTCAGGCATATTACCTGGAAACCTCTTTATTTGGCCAGCGTGGCTTGAAGAATGGTGAAAAATGGTTCATTGAGAATGCTTTTCCATGCCTGCCTCGCAAGCAAAAAGTCCCGAGTTTGATCACCGGTACCAAAAAAAACCAAAAAAACCCAGAATGCTGGGGCTGGGGATTTAGCTCAGTGGTTCCGCTGCCTGCCTTGCAAGTGGAAGGATCCAAGTTCGATCCCGGTACCAAAAAAAAAAAAAAAACAATGCTTTTCCAAAAGGCAGAGCATGATGGGCTCTGGAATTGCAGACAGATGTGCAAAGCCTCCCTGCCCCCCACTTCCTGCCTCTGAGTCCCATGAGCCCAGTCCTGTACCCATTTCTTTATGTGGAAATGGCTCTGGGTGCCTCCATCAGGATGCTGAGAATTTAATCCAGGCACATGTGAGATGCACCAGGCTCACCTCTGGTCTCCGATAGAGCAACCTGAGGGTAGTTCTCTTCCTGCAACTCCCCGCCCTCTGTTAGGATGTCGGGGCTGCCCACAGCCTTGTGCATAGGGCTCTGACCAAGCTCCCAGAGTAACTTCTGCCTGCCACTTCCCACACTCACAGATAGGCACCTACATAACCTCTGGAATTCATCTGGGCTTGAGGGGAAAGGCACATTCCCTCTGCACTGCTGACAAGGAAGCATCCAAGTGGAGCAACCACATGTGCAAAGGGCACTTCAGCCAGAAGGATCTGGGCCAACATCTTTCCAGGCTTGTGTGATCCTAGCCCACTCCACTGTGCCCCCATACCACACACCCCAATGTTAGATTGATGTGGAAGAGGCTGTATCGAGGCTCAGGCCAGACCACAATGCTCCCCAGTCTTCGGGGCTGGAGGTGGGAATGAAATCATTTCCTCATTGCAGTCATCAACCAACATGTGTTAAGAGCAACTGCTTAACAAGTGGAGTCTGATGCACAGCGCAAGCTGAGGACCTAGAGGTCTTAGGAGGACACCAGTGAGAGTAAGGGCTTGGGCAGCCCTGTCACTGTCTCAGCTCTGCCTCCCACTAGCAAGGCCCCTGCTTCTTGGACCTGTAGGCTTCTCTTCTATGGGACAGGAAGAGCAGGGCCCGCCATGCAGTGTTGCTGTGGACAGCAGAGAAATGGCCTGAGAAGCCCCAGTCTGTGCCATCTGGGGGCAGCTAATAACTCGGCCTGCAAGACTCGTTTTATCCCAGGGACCAAATTAACAAGTTCTCTGGAGTTATGTTTTTACAACTCCCCTGACATCAGCAGGAGATCCTGAGGCGCCTCTGCTGGGTTGCATTCAGCTCCAGGTTTATGGGCTCCCCCATGCTACACCCTGAGCTTCCATACATTCCAAGGCAGCATCTCCCTCTCCCAAGGACTAGCAACTGCTTTGTATTTCTTTAAGTGGTACTGGAGATTGAACCCACTGAGCTACATCCCCAGCCCTTTTGAATTTTTAAATTTTGAGACAGGGTCTTGCTGAATCACTAAGTTGCCCAGGCTGGGCTTGAACTTGTGATCCTTCTGCCTCTACCAGCTGCATTTCCTTTGTGCTTTTCTGTGCAGGTGGTCTCAGAGCTGTTGGCAGGGCAGAATGAGATGGAGTCTGGGTCAGCTTATAGACCTTCTACGAAGACAACCAGACTTGGGATGGCACAAGAAACCCCATTGCAGGGGCTGGGGATTTAGCTCAGTGGCACCTCGCCTGCCTTGAAAGCACAAGGTCCTGAGTTTGATCTCTGGTACTGGGGGTGGGAAAAAAACCCCATCAGAGGTTGTGCCACATCCCTCTGATCCCCGAGAAGACTGCAGAGGAAGCAGAAGGCAGAACCCTGTGCCAAAGCTTCTGCCCCTTGGCTGAGCCAGGCTCCAGGTCTGTGGATGCCCCTGCCCTGGATCTGAATGCAGCGTCACCAACAGGCTACCTTCTTTGGGGGCCTCTTTCTAAGGCCGGCTCTTATGGGGCCATGGAGTGGCTGCTGAGGAAAGAAAGCCACCTGTGTGGGTGGTAGATGATTTACAAACCCCCATAAGCTGGAAACGGTGTCCTTGGCCTTTGGGCCACAGATGTGTGAAAGGGAAGCTGTTACAAAAAGTCATTAAGGCCCTGCCAGCACTGTCCCTGAACCAGCCTGCCCAATGCCAGGGGGGAGGCGGGGGAGACCAGTGACGTCACAAGGAGGTTGCACACCCTGAGCTGGTGTGGCTGCAGGGAGTGAGGAGGTGGTGAGCAGGTGCCAAAGCAGCTCTTGAGACACATGCAGGAAGTTCAGAGGCAGGGTCATGGTGGGGATGGCCACCATCTTTGCAACTCCACAGCCCTATATTCCCAGGACCTCCAGAGCCAGGTAGCAGGCCAGGCAGCAAGCCCCCTCAACTCACTTTCTGAGTCACCAAAGGCTCTGGTGGAAGGATTGGCTGGGCTGGAGCCACCTTGTCTTCTAGAGGCCTGATCCTTCTGGGGATTGGAATCCTGACAGCTGTCACTCTGGGATGAGAACTGTCCTGCACAGGGGCCATGATAGTCATGCCCAAATACCTAGGCACACCCAACTCACAGGGAGACCCTGACCCGGGCCCACACTCATGACAGTCGAGTGCTGTACATGGCAAACCATACTTTGAGAAGCAGGGGTGAGGCCCAGCCTTCAGGTGGATAAAATCTTGAACTTGGTATCAAAAGCTTCCTCAGGTTATCTGAGTGACCCCAGGCCTGAGGCTTCTTTCCTCATTAATGCCTTAGTGTAACACCTGCCTGATTACCATACAGATGGTGATGGGTGCCATGTGGGGTCAGACAGGCAGGGGAGCCCAGCCCGGCCCGGCCACACTACTTTCAGGGACATTGACCACCTTTCCGAGCTCACTCTCCTCATCTGAGACAGGTATAACAAGTCATACCCTAAAATGTGTCTCTAGTCAGGACAGATAACGCAGGGGGTCAAAGAAGCAGTTCACATCCGTGTAAGGAGAAAGAGCTATAAAGGATGTGTCCTTTCCTACACACCTGGGAGAGAGGGCTTCCTCTCTGAAGATGGAGAGACCTGAGGTAGAGGAAGCCAAACAGCAAGACCAAGTGTGGGAAGGTGGTGAACAGTGGGAAATGGAGCACATCCCCTCGGACACAGTGTGAGTGTCACACCCCAACCCCACCCCACCAGTGACTGTCCCACGCCAGGCTCTGTGCTCAGCCCTCTGCACAAACCTTTGCATTTAATCCACCCAGGAACCCTGGGGACTGTGAGTATAGCTGGCCCATTCGATGGATAATGATACAGAGGTTCAGAGAGGTGAATTTTCTTGCATGAGATCACACAGCTGAAGAGCACCACACTTGAGATTCAGCCCTTGGTCTATGTGACTTCACTACCCTGGGAAGGGTCTGCACTGGATGGTGGGGAGTCAGGAGGAGGAGAAAGCCAGTTCCTAAGCTGGGTTTTAGAAGTCAGTGGGGATTCCCCACAGGAGGGAGGCTGAAGCAGAAGCATCATGAATTCAAGCCCTGCCTGGGCAACTTAGTGAGATACACTATCTCTAAATAAATATCTCTAAATAAATAAATGAATATGGTGAGGGATGTAACTCAACCTCAGTACTAAAGAAGAACCAGGAGAGAGGTCATCAGTGGGCACAAACAGGCAGGAATGGGCTCCAGGACAAAAATCCCTTAAGGGAGGCAAGGGAGTCAGAGGTTGGAGTAAAGATGAACTGGGGAGAAACACGGTGACACTTGGCCCACTGGGCAGTTTTGCAGCTCTGGGCTGCCAGGCTTCAGGGTCCATGATCTCTTCCCTAGGGGTCGCTGCCTGGCCCTCGCTGACCTGCTCCTGTCCCATTCAGGATGCTGTCTGGGAAGGGAGCAGCGCCTGTGTGGGGCAGTCAGGGGCTTGACATACAGACTGCTGGGGAGCTTTGTCATCAGCGCAGATGGTGCCAGATGGGCCAGGAATCTGGCAGGTGTCCCAGCCAGGAGCCGGC